TGTGCCAGGTTTGTGAACAAAAGAAAGTTATATAACACCGCACAATCTTGGCACTTTTTACAAGGCTGCAGGCCTGGCCGAAATACTCGGGCGTCAATAGATTTTGTCTGCCAGGCTGTAGTGGCCACCAGACAGTAATTCATGTGGGTGTAAACATCCATTAATTGAAATGATGAATTTTTGAAGATTTTTGAAAACTGACAATCTTGAAATTCGCCCCTATGTGTGCACTGCATTTTTGTGGTTAACCACTCCCTGTCGGGGATTCCGGATCCGGACACATATGCTTTATATGCGTGGACGGGGTCTCCAAACTCGGATACAAGGAACGGGCCTTGTAACAAAAGACCGTACCCGGAACAAAAGACCTGGCTGCTGGGAATTTCGGACATTTTTCCACTCTCAAAAGTGGAGATAATCCAGCCTTGTTTTGGAACAGTATACCACGGTTTGGGGCATTGAGAGCGAGCGGATTACCACCGGGGACAAAAGCGTTCCACCACCGCAGCAATGAGCCACACAGTACCGCTACATGCTAATCTGGCCCCTATTGAAGAGGTAAGCAGCACACTGAGCCAGGTTCGTGAACAAAAGAAAGTTATACAACACTGCACAATCTTGGCACTTTTTCAAGGTTGCAGGCCTGGCTGAAATACTCGGGCATCAATAGATTTTGTCTGTCAGGCTAGAGTGGACACAAGACAGTCCTTCATGTGTTTGTAAGTGTCCAGTAAATGAAGATAAGAATTTTTAAAGAATTTTGAAAACAGAAAAAAATGATAAATATCCTGGCCCAGCATCATCAACATTGATAAATGCCCAGGCAGGAAGTGCTTAAAGTAAGATTGTGAAACATTATTTTGAATAATTAGAATATTTACGCCGTTTGCTGTTGACGACATCTGTGAATTTTAAGGGAATTTGTTTTATTGTATGGAACCATTCTTTCATTCGTGTGACTGTCTTAACCAATGGACTGTTCTAAATATCTGGAATTTTTTATAATTTACATGTATATTGACTTTTATTCTCTGAAATCACCTTGCCAAAGTTTTTCCCTTCTTGTTTCACATTTTGGAGAACCTAGCATTTGTTGCATTCCCTCTCTTTTATATTTGTGTAAACAGATCAGTTACAAAATTAATATATTTTCCAAAAGTTTATGAAAAAAGTGACAGAAAATTTTATACTAATTGTTCAGTGTAAAACATGTTTTGATGAATTCTATCTTTATTGAAGATGCAGTTGAAAAAAGTTCAGGAATTACGAGAATGTGACACAAAGCTTTGGAAAGGGGGTCAGTCACATTTCCAGCTTTGTTTTCCCTGTTAACAAAAAATATTTGGTTATCGCATATCAACCTGTTTCACATGTGCCAAACTATGCGTTTATGTATAAATTGGTGTCAAACCAAAGAACAGTTCCAGTTTTTATCTCTCATTTCTCCTGTTTTCAGAAATCCAGTCAAAACTGGATGAAGAGACATTTCTATCCATTGTAGACTGAAACTGAAATTCCAGTTCTGTTGAAAATAAGAACTACGCACGCTTTGCTTTACGTACAGACAACAAGTTGCCCATCTATAGGGCAGGTTTCAGGGTAGAGAAAAGAGGGGGTCTCCAAAGTTGTAAAGTTCTTATTACCGCTTGAATGTTCCCTCTGGAATGCTCCTTATTGGAAGCTGTGTTCCTGGCACAGTCCTAAATGGGAAGGGGCTGTGTTGAGTAAGCTTCAAGCACAGGCATTGTGTGAGCACATGTTATTCCGAAGCTACTCCCTGGTGAACACTGTGGGTGTTCCTGACGAGAACAGGTAAAAGATTCAAATCATTCTCCCTGACCTGCTTATGTGAAAGTAATTTACTGGTTTTCCCCTTGCCATGTCTGGTGCCACATTCAGATTCATTTGGTGGCACTGCACCGGTCATTTTCCTGCATGCCACAGTGACCGTAGTTGTACCAAGTTCAGTTCAGTCCTTTGGTGAAAACTACAGTACATGTAGGTACATGTGTATTATATGCACCAATCAGTGATTTCCTTGCCATAGGGGCTGCCCTAGAGCAGCCATAATATGACAAGTTATGCAATCTATTTAATTATTGCAATAGAGAGTCATGTACAGTATAATATTTTGTGTTAAGAAAGGTATTTTAATTATATGCAAATGTTGAAGTACAGTCGTTAAGAAAGGTATAGGAGAGGGAGATTGAATGACATCCTTGAGTGGCCCGTTTGTGTCTTTTACTCTTTTTTATCATATTAAAAGTCTTGGTGCAATTGTTTTTGGTGATTAACGATTTTTGAGAGGCACCTTGACATGGCTGGCTGGCCTGCCTAAGGATTCCTATGGAGAGACGACAGTGAAATGTTTCAGTTTAAGAGTTGAGAGGGAAAATCCAGACAAGTATTCTTGAGAGACTACAGAATCTGGTAGGTCGGTCTGAAACCCAATCTACATGTACATGCACAAGTACACGTCAGCCTGGGTGGGATTCGAACCCGGTTCATGGAGATGAGCTGCAAGGGAAACTCTGGAAAATACTACGGTGGCAACAGTAGTACATGTTACTCCGAAATCTGCGCTGTCCACAGTGGTTTTGGACATTGTTGGTATTTCTGCAAATCAAATACCCTTTTCCGTATCCCCCGAGTTTAAAAGTAATGTAATCCTGTACCTGCTGGAGATCAAAAGTTGAACAAACTTTTGGTTATTTAGCAGTACATGTAGTTGGAAATTTAAGTATTCATGCCTTTTCAGGTGTTAGCTATAAGATGACAGGTATGTCATGTATTCCTAGTAGCGTGAGATTAGCAGAAAAACTGGAGTCGGTTTTCCAGTGTGGGGCACATGACCACCCTGGTCCCACCAAATTACCTGCAAAAGTGACACAAAGAAGTAAGTATTCATAAAAACCAATGTCAGAATTTTACTTAATTTTTAAGATTACTTGGACAATTTGAATTAAGATTGGTTTATCATTCACCTATAGGTTTTTAGATTTCTAAGCTGGGGGGGGGCTTCAAAATGTGAAAGGAATAGACAATATTGTTTACCTTTAAACACTTGCTAATGCCAGGAACATCATCCACTGAAACTTGTATATGTAAAGCTTATTCTAATAGTCACCCTGAATTCCCTGAAAAGGAATTGGGTAATGGTCACACTTTTTGCACGTTTTTGTTCATGGAGTAAATATCCTCATTTTATTCCCATAATTTCATAAATGTAGAAACGTGTAGTTCTTGTCATCTTTAGGCCTGTGCACATGGTATGACTTCCGAGTTTAAATGACAGCTCCATATCACTTTTCATTCACACATTTTTCAGCACAACACTTTGCAGGTTATCTGTAGAGAGTTTTTCATCGGTGGTTTCTTTGTTTTTGCAACCTGACCCCT